TTCCGTGCTCCTGGAGGCCCTCCGTGGCCCCAGAATTCAACGCTTCAGGCGCTTCCAGTTTGAGTAGCGAGTCTGAGCATCTGCCCAGTCTAGCTGCAGTGTGACCAACCCTTTAAATGCCTCCTCAATTGTGTCTTTTTGCCATAAACGTTTAGAACATGACCCCCGCCCCTGGACACGAGTCCCAATTAGCTTCAAGAAGGAGGCGAACGAACAGCCAAGGGCTTCAAAATAATGCCATCAATTTTTTTTTTACAAATTCAGGTGGAATGATTAGCTTTGATATGAAAATAAATAAATACATAAATAAATGACTCTAGTGTCACTTTGACAAGACAAAACTTTCAAATATGACGCCAGTCATTTTTAACGCAGCGTCACAACATTCATAACCTCCTTTCTCCAGCATTTATACGCCTAATTTATTCACTTCTGGACAAGGTAATAGCCCATTTATAGCCCGTGAATAGCCGATAACACACACACACACACACACACACACACACACACACACACACACACACACACACACACACACACACACACACACACACACACTCCATTTGAATTCATAGATATGTCGGCTGCAGCCACAAATCCAAGCAAAGCAGCAATTAAAAAAAATCCAGAGGGACATGGGAGTCCTCTGCAGGGAAATTAGGCGACCTACAAAATCAGATTAAGTCTTCGGGGGTTGGTGGCGGGGGGAGAGGACGCTGATGTAGGACGTTTATTTAGGATGTTTATTATGCAAAGTATAGCAGCCATATTAGAGGCCGTCGGTGCAGTGTGAACGCTGACTCACCTTGTCGTTCTGATATGCTGTCACAGCCACGAACTCGGTCTCGGGGAACACGTACGTCCTGAAGGTGCTGTAGGGAAGCTTCAGGATGTCGTTGGCCCGCACTATGTGGAACCTGGGCTGGTACTTGTGCATGGAGTTCAGGATCGTCTGGACCAACACACACAGAAAGCGAAGCTTTCGAGTGAATATCACGGCATGTTTATGTCTCTCTCTCTCAGATGCTCAACCTCGACACCAGGCAGAATCTGTTGCAGGCGGATCATCCAGCGCATTGTTATTGATGCTGTTATAATTACTGTGTAAGCAGCCTGGTCTGTAATTAGTGCGGGGCAAAGGGAAAAACCTTACCAGGCCACACATGCTGCCATGAGGAATCAGAACCACAGAAAAAAAATGATTTGATCCAATTCCTAACAGCACAAAGAGCTACAAATTTCACAAGTACACACGCACAGAGCGGCGTGGAGTTACTGCCCGGTGGTCTGTTTTGACGCATCAAAGACATCACACGCAAAACTTAAAATTCCCCCAAAATGGACCGGACACAAAGTGACAGTAAAGATACAGAAAACCAAAAACTTTAGGTGACTCTACGAGGCAATGCAAGCCCGAATCAGCGCTGCACACACCAAGAAATTCTGCTTCTTAGCTATTGCAAATTATTTAGACTGACGCGTCATGTTCCATTTATTTGCAGTAGAAAGCACACAAGGCTGCCATTCAGATACACACTGCAAAATGTGATAATATGCAACTTTGCAAACTGGTAGCGTTATTATTTATTTTATTTATTTATTTGATTTTAAATGCTTTGTAAAAAGACAAAGTAAAGCCAGTTATTTTGGATAAAACACACTCCACAAATATAGAAATGAAAAAATAAAATACACAATATATGCAACAGCCATATGAGGTTACTAGCTGGAGGGAGCGTTTCGCACTCACTTCATGTTATTTCTTTCTGACCCGATTTGGTAATACACCACTTAATCCTCAGCCTCGCAAACAGTCGGCTTAGACATGCTGGGTTTTTCTTTTCTTTTAAGTTCCCAATACAATCGGGCCTAAAACAAAGGTGTACAGTAGGGAGGTGCAGTGCAAACTACGGTCAGGGGGTAAGGAGGCCTGTAGGTGCTGCAGCTCAGGCAGCTGGGCCTGGCTTTGGATATCAAGGTGGAGAAAAATGCAGAGCCGCGATATTCTGCAGAACATCGAAGAGACACAAGTTCCAAGTCAAGTAGCGACAAAGTGACAAAGCTTTGGGTGTAAAGACGCTCCATATTATATTCTCCGTTAATTTCCTTTTAGAATACTGTAGGAGACGATGATACTCTGAGCAGATTTATGTCAGTGCTCCACGTCTCTCAGCTTTACTGAAGCTACTTGATCATTTTTCTGTGGCAGTTTCATACTAGAAATTCGCTCTGTGCTCTTTTTTTCCCCGGATTTTTTTTCCTGTGATCAAACATTCACTATCACCCATTTCCCCTCACGTCTTCCAAAAAAATAAATAAATAAAGTAAATAAAAAATCCATAAATGTTGAAAATGTCATCTTCAATATTTCAACACTCAGTGCAGCGTGTAAATATGAAAAATATCCTCCCTGCACAGAAGAAAGAAAGGAAAAAAACTCTATTTGTACTTACAAATCCATGTTTGTCCGAGATGTTGTTGGTCAGCTTGAGTTTATGGAAAGCAACAGGCTTGGCCATCCACTGCTCGCCGGTGGCCGGGCTGTCCGGGTGGATATACATCCTCTTGGGCATCTCGGGGTCGGCCTTGCCCGCCACCATCCAGCGGGAATTGTGGAACTTGTAGCGGCAGTCGTCCGCGGCCACGATGTCCATCAGCAGGATGTATTTGGCTTTTTTATCGAGGCCGTTTATTCGCACTTTGAACGGAGGGAACATCCTCCTGCGGAAAGAAACACACGCCGGGAGTCAACACGCCGCGATACAACCCGAACACAACTGCACATTATCCTGCAACATTTGAGCAAATTTGACAAAAGAGGCGTTGAGGGAAAAACGCGGCGCTCGTACAGGCAGAAATATCGCAATTGTCAGACATTCTTCTCCAAAGCTGCACACTGTTAGGCGACAGCAACACAAAAACACAGTGCGTGTGTGTTTCTGTGCGTGTGTGTGTCCAAGCCATCCACTACAAAGCTGAGGAATATATTTATGACCACACCACCTCATGTCCCTGCTTTTTGAAGTGACAGCCTGTTTATAAAACCCAGAAGCTGTGCTGCCTCCACAGAATGCAGTTTAGGAGATAAAACCTGATCAAAGCTCTTACCACATTTTCCCCAAAATATCCCAGATATGTGCTGTGGTCACGGTGGAAGTAGATGACAAATATTTCAAGACAAACGGGAGCTTTATTCAATAACTGGCTCCTCTCCCACAAATGTAGATGTGGCATAGTTATTAAAACGACATTTAAAACTGCTATTTAGGGTATAATTACTGGTAAATGCCGTGTTCTCGCTGTTTTTGTTAAATATAGTTTTTATTTTATTTTATTTTAATAAATGAGCAAACCAACAGTCACTGCAAAAATATGTACCGACCGTGCAAGGCCTGATAAAGAGGCTGCCGTTTACTGGCATTTTAGCTGCTCTAAAATTCTCGAGTAATTCTCCGAGCTTACTTGGACTAACCGAAAAGGCTTTAAACTGTATGGAAATAAAAACACGTTCTCCGGATATCCGTGAGCGGATCTATATGCATCGGGCGAGAGTTCTTACCTTCCTGACTTGGTAATAACCATCTCCGTTCCGAGTTTGTGAAACTGGTCCCAAAGATCCTTGGCTTCCAGTGTAACTTTTGGATCGTCGTCCACTTCCTCCTCGGGCTCCAGGCTTTTCATGCTGCGGAGATGAGCCGCCTGATGGTGACTGAGAGCCGGGTGGAGCCCAGCCTCCGCCGCCCCTGCCAGGCCGTGGTCCGTGATCGGCTTAGTGAGAGCACCGGGAGGGAGGCTGAGCGCCGGGAAGAAGGAAGGCTGAGCGGCCGCTAGAAAGGCGGACATGGGGAAATCGGTCGGCCGGTGTGCGTGGAAAGGGTGATAAGCCATTGCAGTCCCTGTGAAAACTGGATCTCTCATCGGTGCATCCACAAAAAGCGAAGTGAAATAACAGATATTTTAATGGTATCTCCCCCCAGCCCAGAGCCAGAAGGTCCGCTCTTCGACAGCACTCAGTAATGTCTGTAAAGCGGCACAGTGAGCACACAGCGCGTTATCGGGGTGAAGAAAATAGCCCAGAGTTGCTGCTGATGTGCGTTTCCTTTGGTTCCTGCACCGAGTCCGTCAGCAGAAGTGGCGCTTCAGTAGAAGGCAGAGCCCGGCTGCGCTGTGTGCCTCTCAGAGAAATAAGCAGTTTCTCAGTCATCCCACACTGACTGGAGAGATGTGGCCCCGTTCACTGCAGATCTGTGACTATCTCACATGTCCTTCCTGCCTCCATCCCCAACACTAATGAACCAAGCCCCTTTGATTGCTGATTTTACGCTTTCTGGACCAATTGTGGGCCCCTATAGGCGTGGTTCTGACAGCTCCGGCCAGACTCTAGGAGAGGAGGGGGGACAAGAAGGTGTCGGAAGCATTAGCAGTAAGAAAACATGTCAACAGAATAAAATATTAACCAATGACAGGAAAGATCGGGAAATCCCACCCCCATTTCTAAGCCAAACACCGGGTCAGCCCTTAGCTCTTGGCCGGTGGAGGCATCACCTCTCTCGGCTAGCTTTTTTATAATGTCGCCTGCGGAAAAAACCCAACCTGTCCACAGACTCGGTGTCTTAATACTCACCTTCATACAGAGGAACAGCCTCACTTCTCCATATTTGCCACAGTGTTTTCGAACATGTCACAGCAGTAAATCTCGCAGCTCATGCTCTGCATTCCGGAGAGATTTCTTCTCAAGAGCTGCTGCTCTCTCGGTCGCTCTATAGTCTCTATAGAGACTTCGTAATTATAGCGTCGGCTGTTTTGACGATTAGGCTGGATTTGCCTCACACTAGTCCAGGCTATGTTAACCGTGTGTATACTGAATCGAGACTCAAACAGGCTCGATTTCCCCGGGCGGGAGCCGCGTATCTGTGCGTGTTCCTGGTGGGGCTGACGGGGAGGCGGCGGCAGAGTAAAGCGGGCTGGAAAAGACCAACTCTGATGCTGCGTGGAGCAAAAACAGAGGAAGCCCGATGAATAATGATGCGTGAATTTTGCGAGAAAAATGAGGGAGAAAAAAGCGGTGAGTGCTCACTTCGATACCAACTCTTCCTTGTTTGGCTGCAGATGAAGTTTACTGCATGTATTTGAACTTGTTATTATTGTGTCGCTGCTGTATTCCTGCTGTTGCGGTGCTGCTGGCTGTCGGAGGGATTACTTTATTTTTTATTTTTAAAAAAATATTTTTTAACTCCGATATCAAACAGCGACGAGATGATTTAGAGCTCAGTCTGAGTTTGGCGCAGGCCGTGGTGGCGTGTAATCTCCGACAGGTTTTATTTTGTCAAACCAAGAGCAGTGCGGGACTCCAGGAGCCAGGAGGGGGTGGTGGTGGTGTGGGGCACCAGCCTCCCAGCACTCTGCTCTGCGGAGCTCCTTCGGCAGAATCCAGTGAACTCGGACTCGGTTTGTTAGAGAGTCGCTCGGCGCCGGTCGGCTGATGCGCCGCAGTAAGAACAATCTCCTGTCTCTTTAGATTTACCCTCAAGTGCTGTGAAGCGAAGCCTCATCTGCGGCTCTGCTCCACTGTCCTGCCTCGGTCATGACTCAGTGTCGGATCTGAGTCCCCCACCCCCCCGCCTCCTCGTTTTGGATAAACAGCTGCCCTCTCCGGGCTGGGACGATCGCGAGTGGGCCGCAGGCGTCACTTGGACAAAAACTGAAACAAAAAGTGTTAATCCCTCTGAATAAGTGTGTCAGCGACAACTGCGCATTTCCGATGAACCCCTGGAACTTAGCCGCCTCTGTGGCTTCCGCTGACACCCGCACAAAATTCTTAGTAGCCATCTAAATGTCTTCAATAACAAATCTAAACATCAAAACAAACAAACAAAAAATAGAATAAATAAAATGAAATAATCAAAAGACGAAATGCTTCTAAACTACCAAGTAATCCGTTCGGCCTCAAAACAAAAGAGACAAACAGAAAAGAAAAGTGTAAACAAAACGATTTGATGTCTCCAAACCGACACCACGATTCGGCTTGTGTGTCAGATACAGCATGTCATGTGATTTAAGAGCATGGGATGTCTGCACATCTCTGTGTTACACACTTGTTGCTCGGCTCCCATCATACAGCCATGCGTAAAAGAGTCAGCAGGCCAGAGAGAGAGTAGCTCCGGTGAACGGGGCTCATACACCTGAATGAAGCCGTTTCCACGAGCCCAGTGGATCCCACACACATCCCCGAAGCGTCATGCGCTCCCGCACGGCACACACATCAGCAGCACAGAGAGTGTCAAGGTTAAGAAGAGCTGTTTCAGACTGAAAATAATTAAGATGGGTGTTGTTGTGGTGTGTATCTAACAGCTGACTCGTCCCTAAAGCTGCTTTTTTATTTTTTGAAGACGTAGGAGACTTTGGGAGCTGCTCACTGGGCTTTACTGTGACACAAATGAAAACAGATTAGCAACATATGGAGGTGGATAACGGTTTTTCTGTTGGAATGCTCAACGGGATAATTGTATCAACAATGCTTTTACAAATTAGTCACCATTTATTTGTTCTGTGCCTTCAACGGTACAGAAATCTCCATCAAGCGCGATTTAAAAGTCATTAAGTCAAGGCAGCAGAGCTCCAGGCTGCTGGGAGCTCTACGTGGAAGGGGCATCGGCCTGATAGATTAACGCGTCCTGTGTGTTGTGGATTAATGGAAGCAGACAGTAAATATGCTCCTTAGACTTGTTCTTTGGGCATGTGTTTGTCAGCTGGGGATGTGGATATGAAGCGTCTGCGAAGAAAAAATGCGCCAAAAAGGAGCCAATTATCTGGTTTTGTCTTCAATTTCTGTTGTCTGAAAATGTATGTTTTTAAAATAAAATAATAAAAAAATAAGGTCACATAGTTGTCAGAAACGAGCCTAGATGAGGACGTTTGGAGGCTTAAATCAGAGACCTTTGGAGCTGCTTGTCACACTTCAAGCTGCAGGCTCGTATTTACCGTGAATTAACTACTTGCAGGACGCTTTCCATACAGTAGGAAGTTGACTGAGGTTTTTCTGTGTCCTTTATTCGTCCGTTCAATACAAGACAATACAACTGTGCGTAAAATGCGCCTTCCGTCCCGGTCATTTGGCCCCTGTGTCAGCGATCCGGGCCAAAGACGCTCTAATTACAACATAACGGGACGGTTTTTGCGCCATATTCGTCTATAATCGAGTATTGTTATTTTCTTCCTTTCCTCCGCATTGTTCCTTTTCTCCTTTCATCTCTCCATCTTCTCCTCCCATCTCCCTGCATCATCTCTCAGGCTATATTTAGCGGCTAGACTGAGGCCTTGGCGCCAGACCGTTTAAGACCTGTCAAAGTCCCTCATATTTCCCCTTGTCACATGGAAACCCGGCGACCAGCGGCCCTTTCCTCCTCCTCCTTCCTTTCTCTTCTCCCGCTCCTCCTTCTCTCTCCTCCTCCTGTAACTACCAGCAGCTTTCCTCCTCCTCCTCCTCCTGCTCCTCTTCGGCTGCCTTTGCTAAATGAAACATATCACTTCTCACTTGTAGCAAAAGGAAAATGTTTCCTTAAGCCCTCCCAAACTCAAACACTCCCGCACACATATTATTTGGAACAATGCATCGAAAAAGAGGTTTGCTTGTTTGTTTTTGGCTCTGAATATTACCGGATGCATCACAGATATGCTATTAAAATAATAATAATAATGATGAAATAAAAATGTCGCACCTTATACATGTTCAGTCATGAACTACAGCCACTCACATCCAGGGCTGAAGCCTTTTATTTTCCTTGCTCCCTTCTCATCTCATCTGCGTCCACGATGTTGAATAGAGGGGTTGAGGTGCGTCTGACTGACAGGTGGAACGCCAGGTGAGGGCGCTATGGTGACCCGAGGGAGCCAGAGGAGGGTGACAGAGCTGTCACAGCTACAGGCGTCACGCAGCAGACGGCCTCACAGAAATCTGAAGTCTTTCCGTTTCAGTACATTTAATCCCCCTGCTCATTTCAGCCATCTCAGTTCTGATGCTGCTGGTCACTGCGTCACGGACAGGAGATGTTTGGGTGGCGCCACAGGTGCACGGCGCGCTGCGCTCATGTACGTGTCTGACTTTGTCCAGAAATGAAAAAACACGCGAATACAAGGAAATCCAAATGATGACATCACCTGTTGCTGTTATTCTCAGGTAGAAAAAATAGATAAATACGAAATAAACTATGAATTAAAACGGGCTTCTGTTGTTGTCGGGTTACTACTTTATAGAGGAAATTTCTCGCGGATATCCGGGGGGCGGATGTGAGAAATAATTTAGATTTCCCGAAGTAAATAGTCAAATATTAAAGTTTAAGATAAAAAAAAGAAGTAATAATAATATTTGCACCTAAACTGTGTTTGTTATTCCGCTGGAATCTCCTGATATTGCTCCTGAAAATCGAGAAGTAACGGCGCACACGGTGCAGTATGTCTGCACGTTATCCTTGAAAGGTACACAGTGTTACCCCGAGGCCCAATAATTAGCTCTGCTGGCTGGATTCTTCTGGATTGAACCCGAACGGACACAAATTATTTTTACTGTACTCGTGCATGCGCACAAATGTTTGTCAAAGCAAGTTCATCCTTATTTACAGCGATCCTCTTAAACCTGCATTTGATGTTTTACGAATCTGTCCGACAAACAAGGTGACTGCAAAATCCACATTTATGTTTTTTTTTTCTTTAAGCTTATTGTATTATTATTAGATTCATCCGCTCAAATCTAAACATTTAGGAAGTTCCATGTATTATTTGTAGTTTTTTAAATCAAACAAACAAACAAACATTTGTTTGGCACATCGAGCAAACAATCGCTCAACTTATATTTGTATTTTTGTTTTTAAAAACTACAATAAAGTCTCTTTTTTGCGCGCAGTTTTACCAAATAAATCCAAGAAGGAGATTCCACTCTGTTTATGTGCATGCTTGTGGTTCGGAACAGCAGGTCTAAATTCATCCTAATCAGCAAACATTCGGGTATTTAACATCATCCAGCTGACAGCATTTATTACCATTTCATCTAAATCGAGGAGCATTTTTTAAACAGCAAAATAATCTTTTGTGTGTTTTGCAGATGTGTTGACAGCATGGAGAGATTAAATTAGCAGCTGCAGCGCCGGGAACATTGAATCATATTAAGGATCAGCAGCAGAGGAGCGGAGGAAGAGGAGAGGCTGTACCTGCAGGCCTCTGCTTTCAGGAACCCGGTACCGCAAAACATCAGGACATCCACTAAATAGCCCACAGAAAACCTCTCACCCAGGGCAGGGAAGTTTAAACAAATACGCTTTATTCTTATTTCGATTCTTATGAAAACACCTGGAGAATGAAAACGTTAAAACAGCCTGAAAATCACTTAAAACGCGACAGAAACAGCGAAGCTGCAGTAAATTAAAATCACGCCTGAACGACAGATATCCGAAATATCGTTTTTTTTAACCTCTTGAAAGATCGAATTACGCAACAGAGACACGTCACGTCTGATCACACGCACTGCATATGAATGACTCGGTCTGAATGAAACGAACCTGAAAAGTTCTGAATGGATGGCACTGCTGTCCCTCCTGCGGTCCCGCAGTGACGCTGTCACAGCGTGACGGTGGTCTCAAAGGGTGGCACGACAGGAGCCCGCAGGAACACCGAGTCCAGACTTTCCACACAGTTTCATTTCAGCGTTGCTTCATTTGAATTTTCTAATATTTATCCAGCTGACAGAAATTATTAGATCTAAGCCAGAAAACGAGGTTTCACACAGCTGCGCTGTTCAGCATCAGGGTTCTAACATATGGTTTGATGGGCCTGAATTAATCACTTGTTGCACACTAGTTAAAATCAGCAGCCTGTTTTCTCCACAATACTTCGGAAACAGCTCCGGTGTATTTTTAACATCACGGAATTCAGTCAAAATAAGAACAAAAAAAGAAAAAACAAGAACGAAACTTTAAACATAAAAACATCTCATTTTCGTCCCTAAAGCACAGCCTGCATGTTTCAGTGTGAGCGGAGTCTTCCTCTGCTCAGTCCACCGCGCACTTTTTTTCAACCCTGTGCAGCTAAATGGAGCGCTTACTGAATGTCTCCAAAAACATATTTAGAAAAGAAATGAAAATAATACTCTCTGCAGAATGTGCGTTTACAGCCCTCTCTACATGCATGCATGTGTGTTTTGAATCCACGTCTCTTTAAGTCCCGTCTTAACGCAAAATTCAGTGTGTGTCGTTTAAAAAAACTAGTCGAGTTCGTTTTTATTGAGGACGTAGAATCCACGCCAATACTGAATTCCCGAACAGTTGATTTGTAATTTAGAGTCACCGTCGGGAGCCAATTTACACTCTCCAACTGCACAGCCATACACGAAAGAACAGCACTGTGTTGGTTTGTAGCTGAAGTGAAATGCTGAAGCCAGCTGGGAGTTCGTGGTGGTAAAAACTCAAGCAGAGAGACGGTCATGGGTTCAAATCTAATTTGCCTTGTGCGCAACACAAACTTGGGAAAAGCTGCTGAGTAGCAACAGAACTCGCGGCTTTGCCTAGAAGGGAGCTTGTTACTGCGCACACTCGCTGTGTAACAGGCCTTCCTCCAAGAGTGAAACTGTGAGCTGCGAGGAACATTGCACACTTCAGAGAAGGCCAGCAGACCTCTTGCTCTTTATTCTGAAAATTATATTTTGAACTGCAGCTGGCAACAAGCAAGTTTATTGATAACCCTAAATGGAAAGTGGTGCACAGTTGTGCAACCGCATCAATTGTTGGCACTTGGCCTAAAGAATAACAAACGAACAACATCTCTGATGACCATAACGATGCCGGGATGATTCTGGGAAACTGTTCAGTGGAGCTGGACACTGATCTCACCAAAAACCTGCAGGACTCTTCTTATATTCTGCTGCCGGCTGCTGACCCGATTAGTTAATACTGTCACAGTCCTGCTGAATATTCACAAGTTTTCTTCTCTAATCACACATTTCCAAGCAGGAGCTCTGGTCAGAATCAAGAAATTTCAAAGTTTGAGCAGTTTATATGTCAGGGAGCCAACTGTGTCATCTTCACTGACTGAAATCAGGGAGCAGATTTAGGAGCTCAGTAACAGCACACATGTTCCTCTGAGTTCATGTAAACAGAGCTGCTCAAGTTCAGTGATTCAGAATTTCTTTCCGTGCACTCCCACGTCACTGCCCACTTGTTAGAAATCAATAATTGTTTACATTGAAAACATTTTAGGGATTTTGGTGTGTGTGGAACTTTTGTTACACTTCACATGTGTCTGTGGTGGTGACGGACACTTCCTCTGTATTAAAATGTGCACCTCTGAAGATATTTCTTAATGTAAAGTGTTTGCAAAAACATGGTAAAATAAAATGACTTTCATTTGCAAACTGCTGTGTCCTTTCAGTTTATGTTGCATAATGCTGAAGTTCCTCTGGTGAAGTGGCACATCCTCCCAGCTTTATTCGTAATGGAATCTTGCACATCAGCCTAAACAAACACACAAAGGTTCACATTTATCCATTCAGTCTGCTCACGAACTCGTGCTGTAGCCATTTTCCTTTTGAAATATACACGAGCGTACGGCACGAGCTGTTGATGGTTACGCGTCTTTTCTCTTCAAGGCTGGGAAGCTTCCACTGCAGCTCACGGTGTTGGGAATGAGATCAATGGTGGCACATGAAGCACACACTGTTAATCTAATGTCATTCAGTTTAACTGTCCTCAGGTTTGTTTTTAGAATTAGAAGTTTTGCTGATTAACAGAGAAACAAGCTCTCACTTCTCTCTCAGAACAAAGAGCACGAGTTGCCCATAAAGCGTCCTTTAACCACCCTTTACTGCCTGTTAAAAAAATATGGCACTAATTAGCAGTGGTACTGTGCGCTGATGGTCACCGCTGTGGTTGAAATGGGAACATTAGGAGCAATCAGAGTGAGGACAAAAGACGGTTTCATTTTCTTCACTTTGTTTTTTTTTCTTGCATGAACGCAGGGAAAGAAGTCAATGTTTCACAAATCCAACAACAAGAATAATAATGATGTTTTTCTTTTTTTTACTGTCCATTCAGTGTCTGAGAAAGCACATCGGACATGCAGGCAGTCCACATGTAGCACTGCAAATGACATTTCGAGCATTTTCTTGGGAGACGTTAACAGTGCAGTTATTTTCACTTTGAACAAACTCTTTATTTCTGCAGGCAAAGAAAAAAAACAGGAAAATATAGATTTGAAAGATCTTGAATAGGAAAAAGATTTTGGTCAAAAGTTGTTAATGTACAAAATTCGGCGTGACGACTACACAAGCCTCCGTTACTGCGCTCAATTAAAATTTACTATCTGGAAAGGCGGAGTGGGGAATATATCCAAATGATTTCAGAAACATCTCGATTACACTGTAAACATCTGAATTACTCCAGCAAAGCAGTAATAGTGTCATCTTGTTACTGCACCCTTTGTCAAATATGATTACATGAAAATCAAAGGCATGAAAGGAGCAAATTTAATCTAAAACACTGAGCGGGAGGCAGCGACGCTCTTACACAGGGAGAATAAACATTTCCTTTTTTTCCTCTGTCAGCACTCCCGTCTCCTACGCTTCATTCAGACAATGGGCGCACCTAACCTTCAAAAACACACACTGAGAACGACGGCAGCTGAGCGAGCAGCAGGCGACGAAGCAACGAGGTAACGAGCAGGGTTACGCTCTAATGTTGAAAATAGTGGACGTTTCTCCCTGACAGCAGACATATCAAAATATTAAACTGTATTTTATCTGTTCTTTATTTAGCTTCCTTCTAAGCAGCTGCTCAAAACAGCTGCTACCCTTTAAATGAACAAGTTTCCAAAAGTCTGCAATAAACGAGTCCAGGTGTTTCCACCCAGACATGAGCACAATTCGAGGGTAAACAGCAAATCAGTGTTTTTGGAATGATTTGGGAATTAAAATGATCAGATTTGAATTGAGTGGAAATTGGCACAATTTTCAGCAGCTTGAAAATTCAACCCCAGAAATGAATGACCAGTGGCGGCCGCAGCTGATTGGCGAGCAGCCGTCTGAGACGAGAAGAAACGAAACAAAAAACAAAACGCATGCTGACCATAGAAACACAAATCTTTTGATTTGGACTCAATACACCGCATCGGTGCGTGAGTGTACGATGGTGGACGGGCAGGCAGAGCAGGGTGGGACGGATGCCAGCGACGAGGAGTCCTAGGGGAAGTTGGTGGGGAAGAGGCTGAGCGGCTGGCTCTCGTTGGTGGGCAGCGGCGAGCGGTAGCCCTCGAAGTTGCGTGGGATGCTGCCGCTGGTGGAACCTGAGCTGTTGCTGAGGGTCTCGATGCTTCCCTCCCTCTGCAGCTCTGCGGGGACAGTGAGACAGAACGAGAGAACGTAGAGTTAGAGCCAGCAGACAAACTGGCTAATCAATAACTAGACCTTCGTGTGCCGCCTCAGTCTCCTTGTGGTTTATTCAGAACCACCGGAGGTGCAGCCCTCTTTCAGGAATACACCAGCTGAGAATGAGTAAATGAAATCTACCGACAGCATCTCAGAGAAAGTTTTTACTGAAAAATGTCAAGTGACAAGACTTCACTAAGCTGGGCTGAGATGCTGCTCAGGTCCTGAGGAAGAGCGTTCACGCTGCTTCATTTGTGTCCAAGTGAAAACCCTCCTGACGGCATCGCCACACCCCGGCTATAGGACGTGTTTACTCAAAACGCTGATTGCATTTGCAGTTATGAAGCAACAGGAAAACACCTTTTTAATTCCACCGGTGTATTACAAACATGTTGCTTCTTTGCATATTTAATTTTCCCTTTTATGACTGCACAAGCTTAACGGCCCTTATCAATCTTTCTGAATGCTCCCGCCACAGAGCACAGGCTTCTGACGTGGTTTAACTTTAACCTACTGTAGTTCTTGTAGTTGGGCTTCCATCAAGTTTTCATGTTTAATGGGACTATTACTAACATTTCAGGGGATGCACTGAGAGTTTTCCCTTAAAAGAAAATGTCTTGATAATCTACATCGGGAATTCTCACATTGTTGATGACCAACATGCTAAATGATGGCTGACTGAGGGCTAAATTCACACATCAAACACATTGTGAGTTCGTACCGTGTCTGCTCAGCAGATGGAGGTACTTTGGTTGGTGGTCTATGGATTGTATCATAATATTACAAAATCTACTTCTAATTATTTTCAAAGTATTTTAGCAAGACACAATAGCATACACGATCAAGTCTAAACATTAGAGCAGATGTGAGTGTAACAGCACGAAACATTGGACTTTAACAGCTTCACTTTACAGAGTCAAACAGGGATTTTCAGTCAGCACAGAGGTTCCAGGAGTTTCCCTTCTTATTGCTCCACCGCGATTACTCATGAGACCACTACGAACCTGCTTTTGTGTCAGACAGATGAAATCCACATCTGTGGGAATAACCCACAGTATGAGTGGACATCAGTTATTCTGGGACTCAACTCTCTGGGTGACACAGGGCATATTTCTGACATGTCGCATGGCTGCCCCCCTCCCAGCCCTTCAGCGTCCTTCACTGTGGAATGACCGAGCTACTTTGGTAAAAATCCCTCCATAAGGAGCTTATTACTGTTATTAAATGCTGTAAAACATATCCATAGATATGTGGATGGGATGGCGTGCGCAAAAGCGGCAACGCAGTATTAAGACTGCGATGCATGCAGTGTGCAGTGACATCCATCAGGCTTCTAGCTGCGTTTAATCTGCTGTTGCTTCCCGGACGCTCTGCTGACACCGGTCGCCGCCCTGCAAACACACTGCACTGCGCATCTGCGACGGAGCATCGACAAACCGAGAGCAGGATTTGATAATGCATTTACAGGAGACGTGCGCATGCTCACGGCTCAGGCTGTAGACTAGAGACGATCAAATGTTCTCATCCGACAGACACTCAGCGACACGAAACATCACATTGGCAAGAGAAAGAAGGACTCGACGACTCAACGAGGATCAAACTGCAAAGCGTTATATTTAATAACTATTCTTTTGGTTTAGTAAATTATTGCTTCTTTACTCCTGTGCAGTGACTTGTTATTCTAACTGTAACAGACATGTTGACACTTTCAAACTCCGAGTCCTCTCCAGAACAGAAAGGAGTGCTGGTAGGTACGAGATGTGTTTCGGTCATTCTTGTGTTAGTGACGCAATGTTCTCAACCAGAGTGAAAATAAAGGTAAATACAGCTGTTTATAGGCGCTGCTGTGATCTGAAACTGTTGTCACTCCGAGTTTTTCCTGGGCCAGAACGTAACGCTCCGAATCCTCCAGCCGTTTGAAACTAACTGCAGAAAACGCTACTGACCTCGGGATGAACAAAAATCCTAATTTGCTTAAGACTGAGTTCAAATTCATAGCGCAGTGACATGAAACCACAGTTTAATGTGTCCCTGTGTCCTGCAGATGTTCAGGAGCTAATGTGGATGCTGTCTTTGTCATGGTGGCTTTGCAGGAAGTGGAAGCTTCTTACTTTAGCTCAGGAAACCTAAGACAAACCGCAACTGTTATTATCCCAGCTAACATGCAACGTGCCACACTGTGGTGAGATCCCAGCCTCTCCCAACCCCTTCCTCTTTAATTTCCCAACGCTGGGCAGAAATGCTGCAGTAATTCCAGGCAGAGATGAGAACTGCTGGTTTACACTGTTCTGGGTTCAGATAACATGGTACTGGTGATTTAATTAGTATCTGGGAAAACGGCGCTGCATTCACCGAGACATCAGCACTGCAGTGGCAATAACACTGAAGTTAAGCTTTTAAGATTTTAAGAGGAGAAACTGGTGACGCTGGGATGGTTACATTGATATTGGTTTAAAAGGCCAATCTCCTTTTAATACACACTTTCTGTCTGACACATGAACGCACAATATCGCAGCATACATCACAGTTTACTTTTATTTTTTCACCCTACCAGCATTTCCATAGTTTAATTCTTCCTGTAAATCCAAAAAGCTCTGCTAATTTTATTTTTCCTCCATTCTTTCCACACTGCTGATCAATACTTCCAGGCTCTTACCCTACAGGCTAGCCTCAGTTACCCAGCTGGATCTGTGCTGCAGTGTTATTGAAGGCGATGTAAGCTGCTGAACACCCCAGTAAAGCCCTAAAGGCCTTTTCTAGTGCTGCCTAATCCACCTCATTGTGTGACGCCCACCAGCTATTCAACAAGTCTTAACCCCTCACGCCCCCAACACAATCCCCGAGCGCTCTAACGTCGGGGATCTTTTCCTCTGGGACTGATGTCACAAGGTAAAGTAATATGATTATTTACAAGGTGGTTTTGTCTGATGTGATGTGTAGATAAAGCTGCTCTGGAGTGAGGCCAGTGAAGAAACGGAAACTACCACGAGGTTTGACTGGTATAGGCTTTTAAAGAGTGGCTGATCATAGCGGCTTATCTATAAAAATGTCACTTTCAATGCAAAATATTTGAAAGCGCGCAGCAGATGGGATTCTTGGGATACAGCAGGATTATCCTGAGGAGAAGAAATCTCTGAGATAGTAGTTTAACCACTGGAGGTGAGAAAAACTAAATCTTCTTAACCAAGAAAACTCAACTCATGTGGAATCTAAACCACGTAGGCACAAATGATGACTGTAAGGCTCCTGGGGCTGAAGCCATGCTCAGGATGACATCGGGGGCCAGTCTTCGAAAGAAAATGTTAACTCAAAACATGGATATGAAAAAGCTGTCAGTAAAGCAGAAGCGTATGCCACAGTTGGGGATAACGTGGAGGTTTTCCAGGCTGGAGTTGGATGAGTGCAGGGATGGGGGTTCTCGGCAGTGTTAAAGGAGGAAAATGTAGTACTTTTTGGAAATTTGTCCTCAACACAATCCGACAGACACAAAACAAAACAGCAGCAAGTTAATGCCTCATCAGCCGTACAGAGGGAACGGTCCGAAACCCTCGGCTGTGAACAGGCCTAATCCTCTTACACTCTCACACAAACACATGCAGACTTTCATTTTTATTCACACAGACTAAATCTGCTCTCTCAGCACACAAATATTTTAGCGGTTGTGAAAAGTCCTCACATCTTTTCACACTTGCACATCACTTCCTCTACAAGTTAATGGGATTTTCTAGTTTTTTACTATTTAGCTGGTATTAGTTAAATTTAGTGGATCACCTCTGCTGTTTGGGATAGCAGCTACATCAAGTACAACACACACCTTTATTTTGCTGGTCACCTTTGTATAAGTCTGACTAATCTGCAGGTTTGAAACCCGTCTTTTCAGTTGACCGCTCGTGCTACTTTCCCTGTCAGATGTATTTGAGTACAATGTTGTTATTGCCAGGATACGATTATCTCCATGGAAATTAAACACCATCTGCTGAAATTGGCAAAAAAGATCCAGACTGTGGACTTTGAAGAGTTTACGTTAATCAGTTACCCCAACGTCAAGAACTCTGTAAGTTTTCAGTTTACAGTCTCCTAACATGACCGACTAACACGCGTGTCATTTTCTGCCTTTGTCCGTGCTCTCATGCACTGTGAAGGAGAAATGTCCTCACGAACACAACTGCATGTACAGAGCACTTCCTGAGGCCCCGACTGGCAGTGTGTCAGTGTGTGTCATGTGCCTGTTATGGTGAGATGAGACACACCACTGAGAGGAGGGGATCAAAGAGAATACAAAGGAGCTTTTAATCAGAGGCGCTGTGCCAGCCAGACTGGGTAGAGTCTCATCCATCCTTCTATCCATCCATCCCTCTTTCCCCCTGGGAGGCTGGGATGGGGGCAGTAACCCATAGCCATAGTATACTTATCCTAGCTGATTGTTTTTGTGTTTTAACTTTAATCTCACCATTAGCTGCAGCTTCCTCTGATTAGTGCTCTCACGTCACATTCCAACCCCCAACAGTGTCACACACACACTTATACACATGTGCATATGCTAACTGTGTGAAACCTATGTGAAAATTACTTCACGTCATCATTATGGAGCAAAGTCGGGTTAGTGCTAGCTTGTAATGGTGATTTCATACTGTCAGTGAACAAAAGACTCTTTATTAGGTGCATCTTGCCAGAACTGGCTTGGATTCACTGTTACCTTCAGAAGTGCCTTAATTCATCATGGAATAGATTCAACAAGCTGCTGGAAACATTCCTCACAGATCCCGGCCCATATACACACAATCATCACTGCAGATATGAGGCAGGATGATTTTTGAATGTCCAAAAACATTCAAGACTCACCAGACAAGGCAACATTTTTCCAGTTTTGCTGAGCTGTCAATTTCCTGTTCTTAGCAGACAGGAGTGGTACCTGATGTGGTCTTCAACGTGTTGTGCATTCAGAGATGCTCGTCTACATATC